ATTTCCCATGAGTATGACAGTTCATTCTGCTATGCCAGCACTGAGGGGTATTGCTTGCTGTAAGTTCAAAGTCAGTGAGGGTTACATCATGAGACCCTGTGTGAAAAGAGAGAGGAGACAGGAGAAGAGAAGAAAAAAATTAGCGGTCACTCACTAGCTGTGTGGTATGTTTCAAACAGGCCTGCAGCTAACTCAGGTTCCACTAAGCTTTGAGAATCTGAGCAGTGTGTGCTTTTGTCTGTCCGATGAAGAACCATTGAAGAGCGTCTTCACACACCTCACAGCTTGGGAACTGTTCTGATCAGGACTTCTGCCCTTTGGGGTAGCTGAAAAGTGCTGTAGAGATTACTTTGAAATGATGTTGGAACGTGAACCAGATGTGTGGAGCCTGCCGTATCACCCACATCCTGCCAGATATTCTCATCTGTTTTTCCAGTTCACCCTCATGCCAGCGCTAGTGCTGTGATAGTGCATTACCATAGTCGAGTGAGGAAACAGGTGAAAGCAATTGCATCTCCTTGGACGTGGGCACACCTGCCACCCTAGGCAGCGCTGGTGTGGGGAGACCTGGAAGTGAAGAGTGGGGTCTCTATGAGCAGGCACTCTAGGTAGTAACCTCAGTCTCTGTACAGAGGGTAAGGACCTCTGAAAATCCGTCATTGTGTAAATGAAAACCACCAAGATTTTTCAAGGTCTTGTGGTCCGAAGAGCATTTGTTCAAGAAAATGGAGTGAACTGTGGTAAAAGCCCGAGACTTGCCAGCTTTCACTTGGTTCATTCCGTTCTCCCGTTAGCTTCACAGTAGCCTGGAGCACCAGCAGCTGCGACTGCAGTTTTACAGGAGCTTATGAAGGCAGAAGGGGTTAGCGCCTCCCACCCAGATCCCAGAGATTCTCTTGCCATTTGACCTGTATAGCGGTTTGCAGGAAACTCCTCTCACAGAGCTCGTGTTTCACCTGTTTCTGAGCTGTGCTAACAGCTTTGTCTCTGGAACATTTATGAAAACCGCCCGTGGTGCTTGAGTGTAGTGCAGAGGAGATAGTTACGGAAACATTTAGAAGGCAAAGCTAGGGAAGGAGTCCATTCTGGCCTGACGAGCTCTGGCTGCTGCTGGGATGGAATGCAGGAAGTACTCCATTAGGGAAGGCTGAGGAAGCTTCAGAACTCTTCTCCCTTGCCTCATTTAGATTCTGTGTAAGCAGGAATCGGCTTAGACAGGAACTGCCTGCCTTGGGGCGAGACATACTCCTTTACCTTAGAGCCTGGCTGCAGAGGCTCCCAGGGCTTGTCAGTGGGAGACTTCGTCTAATTATTAGCTGATCACTAAGCTAAGCAGACGTTTCTGTGGCCAAAGACATGAAGAGTACAAGATAATACTAAAAATAATTGTATTCCCAAAATTACTGAAATTGAGTAAAGAATTTTTTTTTTTTAAATCTGACCCAAGGGCTGCGTGGTGGTGGCACACACCTTCAATCCCAGCACTCAGAAGGCAGAGGCAGGTGGATCTCTGAGTTTGAGGCCAGCCTGGTCTACAGGAGCTAGTTCCAGGATAGGCTTCGAAGCTACACACACAGAGAAACCCTGCCCCCCCCCAAAAAAAAACAGTTGACCCAAGAGATGGCTCAGTGGTTAAGAGCACTGGCTGCTCTTCCAGAGATCCTGAATTCAGTTACCAGCAGTCACATGGTAATGGGATCTGATTCCCTTTTCTCTGATACTCTCTTCTGTCATTCAGGCATACATGCAAATTACATAAAAATACATGAGTACATAAATCTTTTCTTAAAACAACTGCCCCAAACACTTAAGGACAATTAGAACTAATCCTTTACAACTCTTTAAAAAAAGGACAGCAGAAAAGGTTGGAGATGAATATAGCCCAATGTAAAGTGCTTTCCTGGTATGGCCAAGGACCTGGGTTAAATCCCTGGTAGGGCACAAAAGGAAAGAGAAGGGGGTGAGGTGGGAAGGAAGGAAGGACAGACAGACAAGGTCAGAGTTTTCAACCAGGGTATGGTGTTGCACTCCTGTAATTGCAACACTTAGAGGCTGAGGCAGATGGATTGAAAGTTAGAGGCCAGCCTGGGCTACATCATGAGCTTCCATCTCGAATCACTTCTCAATTCATTTAATGAGGGCACATTATCCTGATGCCAAACCAGACAAAGATACCCAAAAACCTACATACAGCTTTCCATTCCTTATCCATACAGGTTCAGGACTCCACAATGTGAGCAGGGGAGGGAGGAAACAGTGACCACGATTACAGCCCTCTCTTACTCCTCACCGGTCCAGTCTGCCAGGCTCTGGAGACTCCCAGGCAGGTTTTTTATCCTCTAGCAAATGCACATCTGCCCATAGAGCTGTGAAGGCACTAGTACACCAAAGAAGCCTTTGGCCTTCCCTCACTGTTCCCAGAGCACCCGGGAGTGCTGGACCCAGCAGGTCCATCACTTACCCCTTCCTGCCTGCTTTCCTGCTCCCTTCCTGGGCTCTTCTGCTCTCTGCTGGCTCTCAGAAGGCCTGTATTGGACCTGCTGTCTCATGTCATGGCCTCACACGTGATGACTCCCCTTTTCTCCCACTCCCACCAAACTTTGTGAATGTCTCTGCTTTTAATTCTGCTTAATCATTAATTGGTTAAATTATTCATACAGAAGGCAAAAGCTTCTGACCAAAATGTATTTCTTAAAAATGTTCTTTTAAGAAGGTATCCTTTTTTTTTCCCTCTGCTGGCTAGTTTTATGCTTGATACAAGCTAGAGTGATCTGAAAGAAGGAACCACAATTGAGAAAATCCCTCCAGAAGATCTGGCTGTAGGGCATTTTCTTAATTAGTAATTGATAAGGGAGGGCCCAGTCCATTGCAGGTGGTGCCATCCCTGGATGGTGGTCTTGGGTTCTATTAAAAAAAGAAAAAAAAGCAGACTGGCCAGACTATGGTGACATTCACTTTTAATCCCAGCACTCGGGAGGCAGAAGCAGGCAAATCTCTGAGTTTGAGACCAGCCTAGTCTACAGAGCTAGTGTCAGGACAGCTAGGGCTATAAAGAGAAACCCTGTCTTGGAAAAAAAATAAATAGAAAGAAAGCAGGCTGAACAAACCACGAGGAACAAGCCAGTAAGCAGCACCCCTCCAGGACCTCTGCATCAGATCCTGTGTCCAGGTTTCTGCCCTATTTGAGTTCCTGTTCTGGTTTTTTTCAGTGATGACTATGATGTGGAAGTGCAAGTCAAATTAACCCTTTCTTCCCCAACTTGCTTTGGTGTCTAATTCCAGCAATAGAAACCCTAACTAAGACACAAAAAGGCTCAGCGGTGGAGACATGAAGGTCCCTGCGGAGTCTCTAAAACATTCCCCGGATCCCTTTGGAAGAATGTGTCATTTCAAGTCAAGGGTGGGAACATTCAAAGTGGGTCTGGAACATGTCGTCAGAGAGGGAGGAAGCTGTCAACAACCACTGATCACATTTTGAAGGAACTCAGGAGCCACCACAAAGGTCCCTCCTAACCAAAGATGGGAACGTTTGAGGACTAACAGATAACAGAAGTATTACACATGATGCAGGTGCTTCTTACAGTGCTTTTAAAATAGAAGGTCAACTGGGAGGTTGTAAGGACCTGTGTGTGTGTGCATGCCTGTATATGTATGTGTGTTTATTCATGCAAACATTCATCCGATGATCCTGTTAATCCTGAACCTATGGACAACCAAATGATGTGGGAAAGAATGCCACCATCTTGCAATCCATATTAAATAAGAGGTGTAAAACAGTTACCTTTGCTGCTCACAAAGGAAGTGTGGGTGAGGAGCTTTGAGGGGTCGCCTGGGTGGGTAGCACCTTCTGGTCAACTCACTAAGTGACAGCATCACTACTGACAAAATTGACATGTGGCCCTGCGGTGGGGTAGGAAGGAGGCTTAGTGTTTTGAGACAAAGTGTTAATCTAGCCTTCAACTCATGTAGCAGAGAATTACCTCAAACTCTGCTCCTTGAGCCTCTGCCTCCCAAGATTGGGATCACAGACAAGTGCCACCATGCCCCCAAACACCCAGGTCTCTGTGATGTAACGCAAAGCACAGAGAAACATGCTTACAAAATAAAACAAACCTCCAGTTTGACTTTACGAACTTCAACTGCCTGTCTTTTAGAGATAGAGAAGTAATACTGCCACACTGTATGACTGGACACCTGTGAAAAGTACCTGCTAGAATTTACTGATAAATATTTTACTGTAATTCATCTTTTTTTTTCCTTTTTCTTTGTTTCTTTCTTTCCTTTTTTTTCTTTCCAAAGCAGGGGTTCTCTATGTAACAAACAGCCCGAGCTGTCCTGGAACTCGCTCTGTAGTTCAGGCTGACTTTGAACTCAAAGAGATCCACCTACCTCTGCCTCCCAAGTGCTGGGATTAAAGGGGTGTACTACCACCACCTGGCTAAATTTTATTTTTTAATCAGTGTAGCAACTATGTTTTGAAATAGCACCAAGCATATACATACATTAGTCAACTCTCTTACACGGTGTAGCTTGTAAGCTTTACATAGATTGTATTTCCTAAATGAGCTAACTTCAGTTTTCTGAGACAGCTGAATTTTTGTGTTTGGTTTGCTTGTTTCTCTGAGATAGAGTAGCCCAGGCACACCACAAACTCACTACATAACCCCACTGGCCTTGAATTTGAAATCCTCCTGCCTCAACCTTGCAAGTTCTGTTTCACCACACCCAACTTTTATTAGTTGATTTGTATTTTGTGTATATAACTGAAAACTTACAGACTTGTCCTTTCTTCTTGGGAGACAGGGATGGGGAGACAGTGTCTTGCTGTATAGCTGGTCTGAAACTCACTGTGTAGCCCAGGCTGACCTCACACTTCTGCTGATCTGCCCACTCTCCCTCCCGAGTGCTGGGATTACAGACCTGCACCACTCAGCTGCTTTCAAGTGTTTCTTAAGAAAACATCTCATTTTCTCTCTGAAATATGTATCTCTCTTTTCTAGAACATTGCTTTAGGTTATATGAAAGAAATGCTTCCTCGTCTCTAAGGTCTACGAGAAACACTGACTTGAAGAGGATCGATGGATTTTGCACCAAGCCACAAGAAAGTTCCAAAGCTCCAACCCGTAAGTTTTTGTTGTTTTATCCATTTATGGAATAGGCAGGCCCCATCCCATCCCTTAGAATTATTTGACATCAAAAGAACCTGAAGAGGTCGTTTAGTGTGTCCTCCATCATGCTCAGTCTTGTAGCATTGTCTTCCTTATGCATTGGTTGTGTTCACAGTGCACAATGGTGTGTGTGTGTGTGTGTGTGTGTGTGTGTGTGTGTGCGTGTGCATGCGTGCACATGTGCCACAGGTTAACATCCGGTATCTTTAAGAGGTGGGACCAAATTAGGGTGTGACTTTTTGGGACCTGGAGAAAAGACTGCCCATGCGGCCCAGGTGTGCTCTCTCTATGTGGTTCCCTTGCAGCACAGCTGAGCTTGGACTTCTCATTCCTGTTTCGTGAGTTTTCCCCTTATAATAAATAAAAATATAATTGTTTTATCTTTTAGATAGCCTAGTTATTTCACAAACCAAATTAATTCAACAGGTGTCCTTCTCAACCATTCTTCACTTTAGTTTTAAGACAAAGTTTTCTCACTGAATTTGAGGCTCACCAATTTGGCAAGACTGGCTGGCCAGCAAACGCCTCCCCGGTGTGCACATCACTCCTAACTTGTTGTTGTTGTTTTTTAAGTGAGTCCGAGGATTACACTCATATTCTCGTGCTTGACTGAGTCATCTCCCCAGCACATCAGGAGATTATGTTTGAGATCAAATATAATGCAGCTAAATTCTGGGTTTGGCACTGACTTCATACCTGAGGCCAAGCTACCACTTCAGGGGGTGAGCATGGGGGGGGGGTGATGCACAACTGTAATGTCCCAGCTGTGCTTGTCTGCAAGCTTCTTGGGGTGCACTTGGGCTCTGCAGGTCTTAGTGAATAGAAAGGAGCCATCCCTAAAGGGTTTAAAACATGTCCTTACCCTTCAACCTGGTGTTTCCCTTTCAGGGTTCAGCATCTATCCTAAGCAATAATCACTATATATGGAAAAGACTGGGAGTGTAAAGATGTTATATATGTATATATATATATATATGTGTGTGTGTGTGTGTGTGTGTGTGTGTGTGTGTATGTATGTATGTATATAGATGTTTTATATGTATGTATATATAGATGTTTTATATATATATATATATATATATATATATATATATTTACATCTAAATGTCAAACTCAGAATGGTTACATGTAGCTGTTGGCAGTTTCTTATAAACACTGTAGTACTGTGGAATGTTACATATCTATGAATATATATACACACACACATACATACACAAACATACACATATATGTAGAGATCAGATTTTATATTGTATGAAGGCATAAGCCTTGTACTTGTATATAAAATGCATGGTCATGCTCACCCAGATAAAGCTGAGGAAATATACCCTAATTAAAGCATATTGACTATTCTATGGTCGTGGCATTAGGAATGGTTTTAATTTTTACTTTTTTTTTATCTGTTCTTTCTGAACTGTCCTTCTTATTGTGTGGTGTGGGGGGCTGTGGGCAGTGTTTCGAGTATCCCAGGCTGGGATAGGCTCCCCAGCTGCCCTCACATGCCGAGGTCATAGGTGTGTATCCTACACCTGGCTTCTAGATCCTCTTCTCAAGTGGCTTAATTCATTTTGGGGTGGGGGAAGGGAGTATGAAGCCAAGAGTAACAAGAAAGATGGAAGGGCAGCCCATTTCTGTACTTGTACGGCTCTCACTCCGGTGGTATATATCCCCCCCCC